AACGTGTCACACGAACATTGCCTTTTTGAAACACATCGTACAGTCAATTAACTGGTAGATAATGAAATTGAAGGAAACGCTATGCAATAGTCGTTACGATATCTAACAAATTATTTATCGTAAATACCGATCCTATTCTAGCCACGAGTTTCCTGACCTCGTTGTTAAAACAGATTTATGTCCACCTCCATCTTTATCTTCAGTAACATCACTTCAGTAATTCATTCGCAAGCGTGCCTTTTATTTGTAATGCTTTATCGACTCAATTGTGAATAAAAGTTTACAAGTTATAATGCGACAATGAAATAACATTATCAGAATCTTTAAATATATGATAAAACGTATAGGTATAAATTTTTTTGAAATAAAATATAAGAAATTGAAAATATTGTTTATTTATATAGAATATTTCGTACTATTTACATTTTCACGTAATGAATAACTTCTCTAACAAATCTATGTAGTTTACGAGTTTACTCTTCGTTAATGATTACTTTAGTCGAATGTATTGCAATGATTGCACGAATCCTTAGGGATCTTCAAGGATATTTTGTTGGTCCATGAGTGTCCAAGGAATTCGCAAATATGAGTGATGATTGCAGTAACCATCGGTCTGTGAACTAAGAAGGATATTTAGTTTCACATAATTTGAAGGAAATATTCGTATCTAATTTTAATTCGTCTTATTGTTAAATTTCAACTCTTTTTTATCGATTATATATTCTTGTTTAATATAAATAAAACGAATCTAAAACAAAGTAAATTAATATTTTACTATTCTCTAATATGTATTTAAAGATTATCTTTAATGTTGTCTAATGTAATGTTACATTCTATTCCACCATATATTATTATTATTATTATTATTATTATTATTATTATTATTATTATTGTAAAGTGTATGAAAGAGTTGAGTAAGCCAACGAATGTAAGGTACTGATAAGCAGTTAGCGTTATGTATGGTACGAAGAAAGAATAAATTTTGAGAATACAGATAAGCAGAACGAAAGACGAGCGCGTGGCAAGAATGTGTGTGTACGAATGAATGCAAGATAAGAGAATGCAAGCGGATGAATGACCTCTGTTCAAGAAAGTGCCTTTAGTTAGAACTACCGGTCAAAGTAACAGATAAATTTCGACTTTCGACCTAACCATTTTATAAAAAATTCTCCTATCCAAGTATCATTTACTGATTCATTGTAATACATATTTTATGATAAAAGTTCCTGATTTATTTGTTATATTTAAGAGAGAAATTTACACTTAAATTCGATATAATAATATAACGATAAACGTATAAAAGAATATCATGCTACAATTGTTCGATTGTCATTTATTACATTAATTTAATTTAATTTTTATGACATTAAATGGATCTAAAAACTATGATATTAAATATGGAAATTTTGTAGGATCAATTATATCTCAGACATTGTGAGAAAAAAAAAATTTGTAAGATTATTAATTATTGGCGTATGATATTAAAGTGCTAAAATGCAAAAGGTGATGTAATTTAAGAGAATTTAAGAGAATCGTGAACAACTCGTGTCCCATTTTTCATGAAAACTAATATTTGGAACGAGAGGAAGTTTAAAGTATCTACGGGAAAACGAGGGGAAAAAAAAACGGAGACACGTTCTTTATCGGTGCACGGAGAGACGAGAATGCAGCATCAATTTTGATTGTCACTGTCGACCGTACATCTATACAAAGGTAAAAGATAGAGGGTGTGAAAAAAAAAAAGAGTTCGGAGTATATGGCGTTGCGTGCATGAACAAATTTCCGTACGTGTCAGTGACTCCTCCTGTGAAGAAGACAAATAGATCTTTATACTCCGCGAATATCGTGTTATATCAAAGAGAGAGAGAAAGAGAGAGGGAAAGAGTTTTCTTATTGCTTCGTATGTTCACAAAACTCATTGTCGAGATAACGTTTCGATTGTTGTTCTTAATTGGAAACTCGATGATTTTATTGGAATTAAATAAATACTAAATTATCGATTCTTACGACACTACAATACTGTTATGTTTTCAAAAATGAAAAAAAAAAAACAAACAGTTATTTAACTTTATCTTTGTTTAATAATCAATAAAACGAAATCTTCCAATTGTAAGCTAATTAATTAAAAAATTAATATCAATTGTAAGATCTTCGATGAATTGAACAATAAAATATTTTTTCTATGTTGTTCCTTCTAACTTTCGAAGGTCCAGTTTTTAATTTAAATTAATTACGAGTAATTAAAACAAAAATTGTATTTATTAATAAAAAATATAAAAAAATACAAACGGAATATAAGATTAAATATAAATTAAATACGGATATTAATTTATTTAATAATAGCTCGGTTAAATGATCAAAATTCAGAATGGAAAATCAACTATGGTAGAACGGTCGGTATACCAGATTATGTTTTGCGTATGGCGGATATTATTCGATAGTCGGTATAATGGTCTATAATATGCTACTGTTGATAGAGCAGCGTTTTATGGCGCTTGATACTGTAATGATGGATTGAATTAATCAAGAGTTAGATCTATAATTGATTAAAACTTGATTTAGTTTGAGGACGGAGTTTTATTGAAAACAGGAAACTTTTTTTTTCATGATATTAACTTTTACTTTAGAAACGATTACACTAATTAATGCTTGATAGTAAACGTTATAGAGCATTTATCAGCATTTCGCATATTGATTAGGATAATTATGGTTAATAGTATTCATTTATTTAGAGTTTAGGAATGCATATTGATTTATTTGATTGATCATCCTAGAAGCGATAAAATCAATCAACATTTGATATAAAGAATTATACTACTATAGATAAATAATTCATGTTACGTTTAAATTGATAACACGTTTTACTCGGAATATTCTTAGAAAGAAATGAAAAATATACAAGAACGCAGGTGGGATTGATAATGAATGATAATCAATTTTTCATTACATTGAAAAGTTCTATTATCTTTTACGAGTACTTCTTTTATATAATCATAAAGTATGAGGGAAAAAATATAACGTAATACAAAATACAAAATTATTACAAAATACAAGACATTTTATATGTACACGTCACATTACAAACTTGATAAGTGTTATTCTAAAATATACGTATTGCAAAAAATGTGAAATATTTAAAAAAAAAATTATACGATGTATCATGTCTCAAAGAAAATATTCCTCTCGCTTTAGAACGAGCTGAAATGTAGATGATTCTGTTTTTGTTTAATTTTACAATTATTCGTATTAAAATAATCTTGATCACTAGAAATCACAATGTTTTACTATTTCGATTTTTAAAAGTGATCACTTATACGCACGATATGTATGAAAAGATAATAAATAATAGTTGAGTAGTATCTTTAATTTTTAACAATACTTTTTACTAAATACTAGAATATACAATTTTATACTAAATATATAATATAGAATATTAAAAATCATATTAAAACAAACAGTTTTTAAAAACTTATATTTCATAATATCTATTAAATTCGTTTCTTCCAGTTTTTATTTAAGAATATTTGCATTTATTAATAAAATACGAGCTTTACATAGGTATAATTCATTATTAAAAATTATCGTATATAAAGATAAATTAATATAAATTTATTACGAATAAATCAACACGAACATACGTAGATAAAATGAAATAAATTTTGTGACAAACGACAATATAAAAAATAATACAGGCATTTGTATTATAAAAAGAAAAAAAAAAATAAGGTTGATTTAACCTGTAGATATTTACGATTACATCGTAAGTTACCGATTCATATTTCACACCACGGAGTATTCCAACTATACGTAATTTAGTATAACCTTTTATAGAAGTGCACGAAAGAACTTTAGAATTGAGTGCATGTTAAGAAACCTTCTTTCGTCCTTGTTATATCGCTTAGATGGTAAGAAAAAATCCCATTCACTGTATGAATATTCAGAGACGTGATAAATAAAATTATGCAACGGCTTCGTGTTGCAGTGTTGCGCTTGTATCCGACAAGGGAATGTAGTTGTGAAATATGTAGCTGATAAGATACAGTGCTCTTTTGCGTTGGTATCACGAAAAGAAGGTCAACTTAGTAAGATTCTGTCCTCCAACAGATGTCAATTTGATATCCTTCAAAACTAAACGCAACCAAATAAGAATGAAATAAAAAATTAATATTAAAAATGTTATATAGTCTTTTGTGTTAATGAACGAGCTGATAATATTGCATAATGAAGGACAAAATTTAAATTGTAAAGTAATTAAAAAAAAAAAAAATAAAAAAAAATAAAAAAATCAAGAAATATTTTTGTTTATTACATTAATATTAAAATATCGACGTACATTATTATTTGTCATAATATTATTACTTATTATGCAAATAACGTGGTAACTTCGTGTCTCATGTAAATAATTATTTTTGTCACTTGCCTTGCATTCAGTAAATGATAATTAACGTTTATTCATCATTCCGTATTTTTTGACTTTTTGTAGCGGCCATCTATCGTTATATTACAAAGATGGCACGCGTTGCCTACGCTCGCAGGACGATGTGTACTTCCCATTTTAATTTATACACGGCGATTTAATTTCATTTTTTACACTTTGTAATTCACAGAGTCCTTTTTCTTGTCTGCGAAAATTATGGTCTCTCTAACGAGAAACAATGATAAGAATGTGAAATTGAAATTAAATGAGAAAATTTCTCTGTCTTTTCTATCCAAAATAATTTTCCAACATAATTTTGCAAAATTTACGATATACACTGATTGATCATCGGCAAAGTAAATAAAATTTTTTATTAATCAAAGATATTTTAAAAAATGCTTTATATGACACGAAATTTTTAATATTGACAAAAAAAAAACAGCAGATTCGATCGATTCGAAGGAACAGCTTGATTTAAGACACCCTATTACTCTCTCTCTCTCTCTCTCTCTCTCTCTCTCTCTCTCTCTCTTTCTTTCTCTCCCCCTTTTATGACTAATCTGGGTTTCGGTAATGCTTGTAGAAAGACGGCTGGGAACTGTCGCAGCCTCTTTCGATTACGGATCACGTCTTGACCGCACCTCGTCCCGATGAATCCGACTCGAGAAGCAGACGGACTCGCTGACCAACCTACCGTGAAGGAGCTTGATTGTCCATATTGTCCAAGCGTGCTAAGTTATGGAGATTCCTAATGCTAACCCGGCCGACCCTAATCCGTCTCGTAGCTCTGTGAGCCGGAAGATCCAGATTTTCCAATGTTCTGAATCGGCCACGTCGAAGTACGGTCAGTTAGCTATCCTTAAAATAAGAAAATCCAAGAAACATATAAGAAAAATATATATTCTTAAAGAACAATTTGAACTTATCAACATTTGTCTTTTTAACTTTCGAGTATTAACTGCATCAATTTCTGACAGATACGCGTGTTTGATCTTTAATTTTTTTAGAATTCAAAGGAACAGATACTTTTTGACAAGTATGAGGTATTATTTATTTTTTTTTTTTTTTTTTTACGAATAAAAAAGGATATCGTGTAAGGTGATGACACGAGATGAAGATGCAGTCGCGTCTTTACCTTACGAAGAACAATGGTTTCGATCGAGATGAGAAGGAAAGAGGGAGGATGGACGACCGTGGTTGACAACCCTTTATCAAGTACGACGGCTCGTTTAGGTACAGCGGAAGCTAAATGGACGAGCGGCTCGGATGAACGGTAGAGGGGCACGCAATAAAGGGGTAGTGTCGCGAGATAATTGGAAGCTACGGCTGTCCTAGATGGACGTAAAGGCGAGGAAGAGATTCTAATGCAGAGCTCGCCCGTGTCTGCCGACTTGCACGTCCACGATTGCACCTATTGTTATTGGCTTTGGAATTTACGACGTTACTATAAGAAACTTTTCTATGAGATCAGTTTAAACTTTAGTATTCTGTTAAATATTATATAATGAATAATAGACACCGTTACGAATAATAGAAACATATTGAAATAGAATTAGAATAGATTCATCGATTAATCTCGTTACAGATAGAATATATACATATATACATGTACACACACACACACACACACACATATATGTATATATATCTAGTTGAAGGTTACATTTCATATCTACATAAATATAGATTCATCATAATTTTGTAATACGTTCAGAAGGTTCAGTTCATCAAGAACGCATAATTTCGAATGAATGAGAAAAAAAAGAGAGAGAGAGAGATGAGTTTTAAATTCTATTGGACCGATCTTCTATAACTTTCTGCAATTGAAAACGCATGTTTTTGCGTTGATGTAATGGCGGAAACTTATTCTATATCCGTATAGAAGTTATATAATACCTAATGAGGGTTGTGTGTAGCTTGTTATCAGTGAGCTGGTACGAGGTAATATTCAGTCTGGGAGACCGAACGTTCAAATATAGTGCCTACAAAATCGATCCTTCTCCTGAGTTCAACCATTGAATATGGTATAGGTATTCATTCATGGAAGTTCTATAGTACGAGTTAAGGAAATCCATAAAATTCACTTCGTCTACTAACGTCTACATTAATCTCTCGTAGATGAGCACGTTGTAGAATAGATCAGATAGAAATGCAATTCTCTTAACATTTTGTCTGTATAAATCGTCTTGTCCTAGTATAGTTTATGTTCTTCGTTTTCACGTATATCTTTAGATTTATATTTGTAATATGTTTCTTTAATATGTGCGTTTTAATAAATATTAGATTTTAATATTACTTCTTAATGTATGATTTGTCCGATAATGTTACATCTATCACTGACAGGGAGAAATAAATAATCTGAAAATTCAAAATATTTGGAAACTTTTGATAAAGTAAACTTATGTCATTTATAATACAACTTTATTTTTATTTGATACTATAATCTGATTTTAAGGGATGAAATGACAGTAATTTTTACTATTTTTGTTACTTAAATAACTAGTATCATATGTATTTATTTATTATGTATATTTATAATATTTTTTTAAGTAACCAATTTTGAGATATAGAATTGAAAATTATTTCTAGTTTCATTTTTGTTTTTCTGTTTATTTCATTAGACTGGTGTCTATGATGATTTGCTCTTACATTTTCATTTATTATCATTGTGATCGATTTATTTTTACAATTATCATTTGTGCAATCATTTCTTCACATTTGAATATAATTAGCCTAAAAATAAATCAACCAACGTTGTTCTTCAAATCATCTTTTACCACGGATAAAAATTTTCAATGATCTCCTTATTTTGAGATAATTTATTACTATTATTATTTTTGGAGGATCGTTGAGAGATTTTACGTTTTATTATTATTTTTACATAAAAATTAAACATCGATTATTTATAATGAAATTCTTATCACACATTGTAATATCGTAATCGATATATAAAATATATATATATCATTGGAAACAATTTATTTTTCTTATTACCGAGACTTTCGAAATAAAAAATATAATAATCATAAAATAAATGAAAAAGAAAATAGAATAGGATTTAATAGAATATGTGATAGTATGAAATCAAAATTAGATTGAATAACGTTGAATGATGCTGACGATGAGTAAACGAGTGTGTAGATCGAATGAGAAAAGTCTGTTTCCTCGTAGTCGTCGTTAACATTCTTCGCCAAGTTACGATTAGGTTTTCCTTCATCACTTCCTGCGTTTCCTCTATCTTCAGCACATCCACTTCACTTGACAAAGGTACCGCTCAGGACAATCATCTCGTAATTCTTCCCAATCAAACGATTGTCGAAGCTAAAACTATTGTGTCTTTCCGCGAGTTCCCTGGGGTAAGTTGAAAATCGAAGAGACACCCCTCTTAACCGATCCTACAAATGCAATGTCTCGTCACTTCGACGGGAACGAAAATCCGTAAAACGTTCCGAAGCTTTCCTATCTTTCTCTCAGTTCTTCTGATTGTGAGTGAGGTCAATCGACCGGCAACGACGACCATTGTGTTCTCTTTTCAAAGGCGTTAAAAGACGCGTTTAAGTTTCTCCTACTGGCACGTCCAGAGATGAGATAGATCCTAATTTAACCTGCGTCAAATGTGAAGTCCATTATTTGAAGAACGAGAAAAAGAAGGAAGGAGGAAAAGAACAAAAAAAAAAAGAAAGAAGAAAAAAGAAAAAGAAAGAGAAAAAAGGAAAAGTGTGAAGAAATTCAGAGAACATACGTAATTGCAATATAGAACAAAGAACGTGAAGACACTCCTAAAACTCTCAGCTGGTAGAGTAGGTGCAAATAAAGTTTTACAACTAATGACATTGAAGTACTATTGTTTTCTTAACTTCTAGTTCTTTCTAGCATTAAAATTCAGGGGGGAAGAAAGAAAATAGAGAAGTACGGAGAAAAAGAGAGGAAAATAGAGAGAGAGAGAGAGAGAGAGAGAGAGAGAGAGAAAGAGAGAGTTAAGTATGGCCAATTGCTAAAGTTTTCAAAAGGAAGGCCGACTTAGGTTGGAATCAAATTCTAACGAAAAAATATCGAGTTCGTTCCGCTCGATTTGCCGAGTTTTCGAGAGAAAAAGATAGGGAAAGAGAGAGAAAGAGAAATAGAGAGAGAGAGAGAGAGAGAGAGAGAACTTTTTAACTCATTTTCCCTTTAGAAATATCAACTTGACGCATCGTTGTAAATAATGGAAAAATAAATATGAATAAAAATATAGAAAGGATGAATAAAAAATAAAAAATAATCAGATGAGCGATGACAGAGAAATAAAAGATAGAAAAGTTCTAATCCTTCGAACTTTCACGAGTTTGCGTAATTTCAGATTTTGTTAGCGAGAACATCGGCGAACATTACGAGCCGTCGTTTCACAGTAAATAATGGTCCTTCTTAAATCCAAGCCGGCCAACTAAAGCGGTAAATAATGGTGCAGATTCTCACTAACTCCGGCGGTTCTCGAGGCAAAACAGGAGGCGAACGATCGTTCCCAAGGAAAAATAATGCAGCCGATTCGTTCTTAAAGCGTTGTAGATCTTTGTAAGAGGTTCCGTGGAACGGTTTATGGACGTGTCCACGATATTCTTGCTTATATAAAATCGAGAGAACTGGAAATCGAGATAATGTGGATATGTCGTATTTTGAAATAAAAGAGACAGAGAGAAATATAAAAAGATAGATGGATAAATAGATAGATAGAGTGAACGGAGAGGGAAAGGAAGAAAGTTAAATAATGTATTCAGTTAGGAAAAAAAAAAAAAGGATCATCTACATTTAAATGAAAATTCAGGGATATTCATGGATTTAGACGGTGCCGCGTGTTCGGTTATATTCTGATCTTACAGTGAAATCCATCGGTGGCTGGTAACATTTTTCAAAATCGTTTTAGCTTTAAATAAACCCTCAATGATTTAGGGAATGACAATTTGACAATAACAACTCTTTTATCAATTAGATATTTTTTTCCAACTGTTAAAGGTTGATGACGATAAAATCGATTTATATTACTTTCATGGTATACCATTCTTCGAAAGAATTCGAACGAAATGCATTAATCATGCATTATTAATGTTTAAAAAGTATCATTTATATCGTGGTGGTGAATAGACAGGTGAATATCACGATAAAAGGTATTCCTTTGTCCTATTCATAGGTTTGAAACTAGTCGAATGCATACGAAATAACCCGTAACGAGGATCTGCCATTACCATCGAGAAGATTCGTTGTGGAATGGCGGACAAGTCGCATAATGGAATACTTTTATCGATGTACCCACGATCGTTTAATTATTCAAGAACTATCTCGTGCGTTAACCGAGTTGCTGATTGTGTGCTCTCAGCACACAGATAGGGTCATACACACGTACAGATACAGATACAAACTTACGAACGTAGGCGTTCCCGCCCATCCAGCTGAGGTTCGTTGTAGATTCTGTGGTCGCCCGAAAGAGGAAAACGCAATTTGCGTTAAAATCCATGAGAAACGGAAACGTTCGGAGATAATTCGGAGAGGTGAATTCGTTAAAAAATCTTCTTTTCTAAGGAGTGAACTATGTCCGTCTTAAAAAAAAAAAGAAAAAAAGAAAAAAAAAACAAAAGAAGAGAAAAAAAGAACGAGAAGGAGAGTGAAAGAAACTTAAGGGATTACTAAACGCGTCTTTGACTCTGCCTCGGGCCGAGCGAGCTGGGGGAGAGGGGGGGGGGGATCTTAAAAATTCGTAACGCATATTACAATCGAAGCTCTCTCGAGGAATTAGATGGATTGTTGTAATCGAAGCGTCCCTTAAGTCAACGCTTATGATTTTGTAACTCATACGTCAGACAGAATATCCAAGGAAAAAGATAAGTAGGATAGGGTGGTTAATGACGTGTAACTATTATCTGACGTGACGAGAAGGAACCATGTGCATGCGTACCCTCTTATCGTACGATCGATCAAGTACTCCAACCACTTGCAGACCCTCCTGTGATCGCGTTTAATAGTGGCCCACGTAAATGCTTCTCTCTTTGATAAATGACAAGGACTAACGCGTTCTCTACTATGCAAGGAACGTGTCCGTTCTTGTCTTGAGAAAAAAATCGAATATTTTTATTCGTTATTTAACGTTGAAAATGTCTTCCCGTTGAAAATTCAAATATTTCGAAACAATGATTGTTCAGGAGCAACTTCAAATCAAGTTCTTCTTTACGTGGAAAAGCAGAAATGCAGGGTTGACGCGGTTAGAACGTTTCCATGCACCGTCGAAACGGAAACAACATTCGGACTGGAACATGATGTATCGTCGAAAGGGAAACATTGTTCTTTCTCTGTATGTGTTTTACAACGGAGATCAGGAGTACGTGCGTGGACACAGACATAGATACACAGATACAGAAATACAAACACGAACACGAAACTACGGAAGTTTGAACCTGACCGTCGTACCTAGGACAGAGAGCTTAGGGCAAGTTTTAGGCTTAACCCAATTGCGGCGAGACGACAGCGATACTATGCTTTTCCGTTGGTGGACGGCTTCGTAAATAACCCAACCATCGTCCTCCCTTTCTCCTTTTGCGTTTCACCATGGGCTACGGTCGACGATACCATCCAGTCCCTTTCCTTTTTCATCCCCTTCCCCTTCTTTACTTCTTCAACCCCTCTTTCTCTCTCCCTCTCTCTCCCTCCTCCGGTTTTCCTGAAATTTATTGTTTTCCAGGCGAATGAGAAATATTCAAACGGCGGCAAAGCCGCCAACATAAAGATCCCTTGAAGTCGACGAGGGTGAACGTAGCTAGGGTGGTGGAGTAGTGACAGTGGTGGTACTTCTCGGCCTATCCAGCGGAGACGACGAATCCGTAATGCATCTATTATCCAAATGGAGAGCCGTAAATCTTCGACAATTTATATTTTATACTTACAAATACAGTTCAAATATACGGATTCGAACGGCTTCACGGTGAGACTATCAACGGGCTCTTTACTACGAATCTACAATGTTCCTTTCGAATTTCATGAAAATCTTTCGATGAGAAATATGATACTGACGAGTATTATTTAAACGTTAGTTTAATATCGAATCAATAAATTATCTCTTTTATACGTTCTTTTTTTGTTTCTACTTTTACTTTAAATTAATTATATCATGAAACGATTGAGTAATAGAAAACTTTTTAAAGGGAAAATTCTTGAATGATTTTATTTCCAAAAAACGGACGATACTTTTCAATGTAAAGAAACATTTATGTTAACTCACTCAGTGTCTACAATATAGGCAATCGAGAGAACCCTTAAGTTTCGAGCAAGAGGTATTCGATAATTCACGA